GCCTGGGCGCCCCAGCCCCTGCTAGGAGCCCCAGGCCCTTTAAATTGCCCCCTGGGGAAGCCGGATCACCACGGAATGGCGCACTGGCTCTTGCCGGTACGCCGTACTGGGGTTCGGGCACGGGGCCCTCTTAGGGGCAGGGCCCGATTCAGGGGAATCGGTTGAATCGGCCTAAAGCCGGCCCTGGTTGTCGTGTTGCATTTCGTGCAGCTGTCAGGGAAATGCAGGCAAGGCCAAAGGTCCCTTTCCCAAGAGAAGTTCCAGTTGGCTTCCTTGTCAGTGTTGCCGTCAGATGGGAGGGAAGCAGCACCACTGACAGCTGTTGTTCTGGGGGCTTAAGCACTTGCGAGGGACTGTGTGTCATGGCACAGTCAGTTCATATTACCGTATTTATAAATCCCAGTCACGCAGCATCTGCAGCGCCTAACCTGTGTTCCTCGGCCATGTGTGAATATGCAAGCTGAGCCAGTGGGTTTACACCAACTAGAGGGGAGGGAATCAGAGGTAGAGCAGAGAAAACACCTCCATTTTTATTTCCCACCTGTTTATTCTAAACTCTAGATTTCACCCTTTTCTGGTTTAACATCCATCCCACCCAGGGGGCCTTATGCTGCTTGAATGATGCGCTTGGCCAACAGCAGCCTCCACTTTCTCCATAGGTTTGAATTTGGCCCTGTCTCTCATCCACTGCTCAAGAGACAGAGCGCTGCTGTTGCCTAGGTGGGGATGGGATTTCGGTGTAGAGCTCCCATTTGTGCCAGCAGGCCGTGCACGTTTTAAATCCCCATGCAGTGAGATCAGAATAGTCCCCTGAAGGGACCTATTGAGACATAAACCAAAATAAAGAGCTGGCCGAGTCGAAGAGCGCCTCTCCTAGCCACAGCTGTGGAATCCTCGCCTGACACGTGACTCACTGAAGATGGTGTGTTGTTCTCGTGCTGGGTACAGCGTCCGCGGCACATCGCATTCATCACAGCTGAGGGTTATTTTAAATAATCATTTAAAAATATCTTGGCAGGGCAAGGTTGCAAGGACACTGCAAAGGACCCTTCTCTAGTCCATTACCCTCCGCACTGCAGGGCTACAATCCTCTTTTACAACTGGTCTCCCCTTAGCAACACGTAACCAGCAAAACCAAATACATGAAAAAGGCAGGAGAGGGCAGCTGCTGGGCCAGTGGCGCCGTGGTTAATGCTCCGCCCTGCCCCATGAGACCAGGCTCTGGTCTGTTCATGTCATCTCGCTCTCCAGGCCCACTGGGACAGGGAGCGTTCTAGTGTCAGCAGCACATGCAGCCCTGGTGGGAGATGAAGGCGAGCCTGCCTCTTTGTAGTAAGCTCTGGGCTGCTGTACATGAAGCAGAAAGGCACGCTGGGCCTGATTCACACTGGCTCTGGAGTAAGGCCATTTAAGCCAATTGGGTTAGCTCTGCACAAAACCAGTGCGAGGAAAAGAGTCGAGCTCTTGGGTGGTTGTAGTGTTGGGGGGAGGAGGGAGAAGATCCTTTGTGTCGAAGGGCGAAGGAGGAGGTGAAAAGCGTATTAGCCAGCAAAGGCAGGGACTGTAGCTGCCTGTGCAGGAGACAGCTGGTGGGCAGGATGGGTGTCTGATGTGACACAGTTTATGGTGATTTTATTTCCAAAGCCCTCTCTCTCCCTGACCTCTAGGGAGGCATCAGGGCAGCACATGTGGGTTGACATTCAATAGAAACATAATTTAAAAAGTCAGACTCTTAAAATTCAAAGAAATGAGGGAGAGAGAAAAAAAAAAGCAACCCCAAATCCTGGGAGGATGGGAAATAAATGCTCGCTTGTTACTGAGGCTTCTGAAAAGGTGCCCAGCGTAAATTCCAGATGCTGACCAATTCTTCATTCCTTGTATGGGCAAAAGCAATGCTTGTCTGGTGCCTATATTTAATTCCCTTGCAAAAAAAAAAAAAGCAGTGTTCTCCCTCTTCATGCCTCTGCCCACTGGCCTCTTTGCCTTGGAGAGTTAGACCAGGAATAGAATTGCTAGTAGAAAACAGTGACATTAATAGTCACATCCTCCAGTCCCCAAACCTGGCGAGAGCTGAACACGGTTTACCAACATAACATTGCGCCATTCACAGGAACTGCGTGGCTGAAGCCAGTTAGTAAAAATGCAGGGGCAGCAGTAGACAGTGGAAGTCTCCCCCGTCCCTCCCCTTTATTAACAAATATACCATGCGCCCCGTTCACGCTGCAGCAAACCCCATTGAAGGTACTCATCAAGAAGCAAGAAAAGGAGACCTGATCCCGAGAACCCTTAACACCTCATAAAGCTAGGGGCGGGGATGAGGATGCATGGGGCATGGAGGCCAAACTAAAAAAAATAAGTGACTCTTTGAATGGTCCCTCCAGGAAAGGAGTGAGCGGTAGCAGGGACTGTGGGAGGGCTTGGAATTGCCCCTGTCCATGTGAAGCGAGAGCTTCATCCGGGAGGGCTGTGAATCTGGCACCTTTCACTTCATACAGTACAGACTGACGAGCAGTCCATGGGGGCCGCTTGACTTGCAGCAAAGCTTGTTCGCTGTACAAACCTGGGGGCAGGACACTGCAGGGTTTGTTTTACTAGGAGATTCACGGCTTCATTCTCGCCAGATTTGCTGGGCTCATTTATGAATTTGGCTTTACAGAAATAAAAATGTTATTAAGTGAATGTTTAAAATGAAATAGACACGAGTTAAGAGGGAAGGTACTGTACATCTGGGGTCAGGCTTCGGTTATGGGGGGTTACAGGTATCGTTTGCAAGGGTGAAAAGATACATACATATCGCATAACCTGCATAGACCTAGACTGGGGTGCAAGAGTTTTTAAAGTGTCAGTGGATAAGTGGGCTCGGGTAAGCCACCCATGGAATGAATAAGGAGTCCAAGTCAATATCGGTGTAGCGGATAAGTACATGGGTGGGGTGTGTCCCACCCTACAAAGGGTGCGTAGGTGCACTGGGTATAACACCACCACATGCTACAGCAGTAGAGTTGAACATAACCCATGCCCAATGTGTCCAGCAACTGAACAACTCCAAGGCTCTTCCCTTGTGAGCAATTTCTCACCTGAACAATTCTCCCTCCCCCCCGATTTTCAGATGCCTAGGAAAAAACAATTACCTTTACAACGTGCCTCGAGGATCATTAGATCTGGGCTCTTTCAGACCAAAGTGGGAACAAATTCCAAGGCCGTGGGGCCCTCGCAGCAAATGACCAGCCAACAGCCCCTTCTTGTTTGGATGATTTATAATTTCTTTAGTGGAAAATGTTTTTCTTTTGTCTGCTCTTCAACCCCGTGTCCCCCAACTGAGCAATCCACGCCACGGAACCCACACACCAACTCAGCTGGTATAAGCCAGAGTAACTCCATTGGTTTAAATAGAGCTATACTTACTTACACCAACTGAGAATGTAGCCCTTTTCTTGTTTGTAATTGTGAATGTCACTCCTGTAGCTTTTGCTTTCCGTATAGAACTGGAGTGCAAGCAGGACGGAGAGTGGCCATTAGAGATATCACGTGTTGTACAAACTATTCCACTGCCCTTTGGAAGATTGTGACATCGCTTTATTAGTAATTCTTGGAGAGTGGAACACTGAAGAACTGTGTTTTGTTTTCTCAAGACTAAATCTGTACATAACAACAAATAAAACAAACAAACAAAGAACCCCAACAACCCAACACAAAGTCTGTTGCAACTTCATATCTCAGTGCAGCATCTGGGTTTAAGGCCATGAAGGGTAACGCTAAACTGGTGAAGAATTTCTGGACATCACAAAATTCCATGTATGGACCTGTTACTTATACTACTGGTTAAACTGATGCTGGAGAGGACAGGCAAAGAGCACATTGGAGATAACGCTTTAGAAAAAGAAAAGCTGAAATGCAACGGGATGGTGAGCACACAACATCTGCATTCAGCGACTGTTCAAGTACTGCAGTCTCTTATAAATTCATACCTTACTTTTTTAATTTAAATATCAAGTGCTCTGAGATCAACTTTCGAGTTGCCTGGTTTATAATCCAGTATTAAGTGCACACAAGGGAGAGCGGATTTAAAAATATATACATAACACACACACACTGCATTTTATGTACCGTAGTGATCTTAACCAGAGATGAACTGAATGGATTTGGCAAACATGAAATCCCTATGACCAGAGAGGCTCACACACAGGTAAGGGGCTGGCTATCCATGGTGCGACCTGCCCTGGACGCTGTCAAGAAATCTGGTCATTCTCCTAAGCACCAGCTCTGGAAAACTTCTGCACACAGTCCTGATTCAGCTGCTGTTCGGACGTCCTTCCCCAGGAGATGTAGGTCTCTTAGAAGCTGGGCTCATGGGGCTGCTGCCCACAGCATACTCTACACTACAGGATACGCTGTTTCCCCCACCCCAGTGTGGGGCAGGCCTTTGGGGTATATCATGTACAGACATGTATGTGCTCCAGCTCATCTCTAGCGTGAAGCGGAACCATTTGGCAAAGGAGACGCTTACAGGAACTTAGACCCATACGGCTGTATTCATATCAAAGCCTGACTGGGTGTGGTCTGTGGTGCCATGGACCTTCTTGGCACAATTCTTGGATTTGTCACTATTAGCTTCTGCCTTTGGGCACCTCTCCATTTTGCTGTGAGAATTCTGTAGGTTCCCATGGAGGGGGAAATAAAATGTCCCCTTCTGTTTGCTCACCTTTTTGGATCTCTTTGAAATTTCAGTCTCTCTGTCTTCCGCTGGGAGCCAGCATGGTTTTTCTTTGAGGAGTCTATCTCGGTCTGGCCGTACACTCCTCAAGAACTTTTTGAAGATGTTGGCCGTGAAGGAAAACTTCCTGTAGAACTCCTGAGACCTGCTGATGGACAGGGAAGTCTCATTTTTCTCCCCCTTTTTATCCAGCTCTGGCAGATCCAACCAGTTCCCGACCAAATCTGCAAAGATATTATCCCCCAAGACCAGAGGCTGCCGGTTCCTGCTCTGAGACATTAGTGAGGAAGTCCAGTCATTGGCCTCATCAGAAGCCTGGCATTCTCTGCATCCCAATCTACTCCCAGCCAAAGTCTGAGGGATGCTGGCTGTGTCTCTATGAAGCTGGTTCCCAGCTGTGCCCAAACTGGCTGACTCAAATTTCCTTGGCGGGCAGTACTCTGCTGTGGTCAGAGCTGAAGAAGGTCTGCTAGTAGGATAACAGTCTTTGCTATAAGCCACGTGTCTGTGGTGGCTACTGTCTGGTAAAGTCACAGGGCCAAACAGGCTGGCAGATTGTGGCACCTGGGTGGAGTGTGCAAACGCCATGGGGCTGCACTCCTCCAAAGATCTCCTTCCCAGCAACCTCTCATTCTGCCTGCTGGCTCTGGGCACCTCTCTGCCATTTCGACAGCACTGGTGCTGGCCAATGCCTGAAATCTTGTTTCGAGTCTCTGAAATCTCCAACTGCTCCAAAGCTGTCTGGACCTGGAGGAGTTTCAACTCTTGCAGGGCACCCATCATGCAGTTCATCTGTTCATGCAGCCCGTCTCCAACCTCCTTCATGGATAACTGTTTGGGGAGGAAGAGAGGACAGTGAATCAGTGCTTAGAGAAGCCAAGACAAAACAAGTAGTATTTTACCCCTGCAACTTAAAAGCTAGGCCATGTTCCCTTTTTATCTTGTAAGCTAGACAGCGGCAAAAAGCAGGTCTCTCCTGAAACATGCCCTAATACTGAATTATTAGGACTTAAATGTCCCTGGTGCTCCAGCCATTTCATGGGATAATAAACACACATTTTTTTAGATTCTGAAGAAATTAAAATATTTTTTTTAAAGATTCCATATCCTCACCCATTAACAAGAACCGAAATAAGCATTTGATTGACAACAAAAATAATGTTTATCTGAATTTCAGTTAATTGCTTAGCAGAACCTCTATTCATGTAACCGAGCATGACAATTCGCTGCATCAATTTTTAGACTTATTCTGCAGCTGTTGTTTCTTTCTTGCCGTGCAAACAACTGAGACTAGAAGTGGGTGCTCTGAATTTATAAATGAACCAGCCTTTGACTGACTAGTTTCTGTAATATGTTAAAATCAAAACCAAAAAATATTTAAAAAAAAATCACATTGTCACTCTGTAATATGTCTTAATGCTTTGTTATAATACCCTAATTACAGGTTGAGAAACATAAGTACCAGCATGGAATGAAGTCCTAGAAATTTGAATAGTAATACTGAAAAAACAAATAAGTAATCACAAGTTTATTTGCTGAAAAAATCAATGATTTTGGCTTCCAAACTAGATCCATCATTCACACTTGCGTTTTTTCCTTCTGCTTTAATAGAAAGGTGTCTAACTCTCCATGTTAACCTTAAGATATGCTAGTTATTTTCCAAAGCTTCTATATTGCCCTCTCTCCCCTTTCATTCTGTTGCTCTCCTTCTCTCTTATGTGGGATCGGGATCATATTCCCAAAGCGGCATCATAAAACAAATGGGCTATACTTTCCAACAGCTGCTACCACTTTTTCGGAGGGCAGGGGCGCAGGGGAGGGGGGAGGGTGGTTTGCCAGGCTGGAGGCAAAGAGATGTCACACTGATGCAGAGAGGTTGGCAGATGGGATTATAAATGTCTCAGAAAAGATCAAAGCTAAAAGTTCTTTAGTATACAGTTTAAAAAGCTGATCACAATCTTTGCATGACAAGCATTCTCTTAATATGCTACTTTCCTTTAACACCTGTACACAGGAGTGGCTGTGCATTACCAAGCAATTTTTTGTGTGTGCGAGGGTCATTTTGCTCAGTTATTTGCGGTAAGCAGAGAACTGCAGGTTCTCACCAGTGGGGAAGAAAGGCCATTAAAACACTGCCACTCTGTAATAACCATGCTGCAAAAGTGGAAATCCCCATAACGCATGTTCCAGGCACAAATCTCCATCTAAGTTTCAAAAATCAGACTCTCAGAATTAGCAGAAGTATGACACCTATTTCTGGAGCTTCATGCTCAAGAGGAGACGCATATTCACCTGCTAGAAAGGATATCTGGCTGTGAAGTTATGGAAAAACTTTCTGTTCAAACCTCTGATTACATTTACAAGTCAAGTCTCCCTTACAGGCTAAGATTACTAGTATCTGCAAAATAAAGCTACATCTGCACATATGTACAAGTAACGCCCACACGTTTACAATAAAAGAGCTCTTGCACTACCAATACAAAATCTGGGACCATATGTTCCATAAGCCTCAGACAAAACTATCACCTTACCTCTCCAGATTTGCTGTAATGCTTCTTGTCCTAACCTTTCTTGCCTTATTAATGGAAGTCGTTTTTATCTGTGGCTTTGCAAAGCTGGATTTGGAGCCAGCTTGGACCCTCATTGGACACTTTGCATCAAATCCCCTCGCAGGCAAAGTGGTGTAATCAAGCAGTGATGAGTGACAAGGGTCCTGCAGTAATGACTAGACTGGTCAAAAAGACGGCATATGCTCGACGGCTGTGCTGTTCCCTTCATTGATTCAATTAACTCCCCCATGATGGGAGGTATCGTTACAATGCAGGCCTCATCTGACAGGGACCATTAATATTTCAGAGGCAGCATTTACCATCACTGTGTTCATTTCACCTATGGGACCCTTCCCCGGTGAGTGCCTAGGATTCAGAGCTGGTTGAAAGGCAGTAACAAGTTTTCACAGAAACTTTTCAACATTTTGTTGTTGTTTTGGTAAAATGTTTTTCATGGAAATTTCAAAAAGTTTTGAGCAACTCTAATAGGATAAACACAAAATGCTTCTCAGCCACTGTGGGGCCAGTTTAAATTGTCAGAGCTCCTCTGACTTCAACTGGACCGTTTATATCAGCAGAGGATATGCCCCTCAAAAACAGTTTCAGACACCTTTGAGGTAGGTACATATCGATCCTGTTTTACAGATGGACAAACAGAGGCACAGCGAGGCCGATGTTACTGTTTATCTATCTTTGGTACTTCTATGGTGTCTCTCCACTGACGTTAGAGTTACACCAGGGAAGAACATACCCCAACATGCCTGTGGCCCAAGGACCTCTTGATGCCAAATGGCGGAGGGCACCAGATGTGCATAAGGGTTACAGGGATCCCCTGAGTCTGGTATCTACATACTAGTTCACCAAAGAGTGTTATGTAAGGTATCCACTGACAGCCTGTGTCACACTGGCCCTCATAATCATTGCAAAACGTATGTATGGATAATATGTCAAGAGTTATGTACAGATACTGAAAATTATTGTCTTAAAGTCTGTGGGGCTGGTCACCAAAAGGTGAGAATCAGGTTTCTTACAGGCAGAATATGATTATCTATCGGTGTATCTACATGTAATTGAGTACTGTATATTTCCCCATAAGCCCCTATTTACAGTGTGAGAAACATGCTCATCAAGCGAGTGCAACGTCTTGAGGGCAGATCCTAGACAGGAAAACACAAGAAGCGGGGGAGGTTTACCCTGTTTGCAAGTGCAGACAATGGATTTTTGGACTATAACTGTAGGGACAGAGACACACTCTGGATCTTTCCACCAAGGAGTGGCTTAGTCTCTCAGTGCAGTTTCCCATCCATACAATGGGGATAACGCCCTACCCTACTGCACAGGGGTGTCGTGAGGATGGCTGCTCGGTTACTACAACAGTGGGGGCCAGTATCTACTTATGATAGATAAGCGCTGTGGTTCTATGTTTAAGGACTAGATCCCAAAGACGGTTTCATTTGGGAATCCCCAGCAAAGCAGGATTTGTACCCTGATCTCCAGACACAAAGGGGTAGGCACGTCAAGCTGCCCCCTCCATCCCCCAGCAACAGGAACTTTCGTTCTCTTTGGACAGTGCCTAGCACAGTGGGGTACTGATCCATGAGTCAGACACCTAAAAACGACGGTAATACAAAAAATAAATAACAGCAATAACTCCATTTGCAAAGGCTACTCCTTCCATTCCAGAAAAGTTTTTCTTATCCTTTGCCACAAACCTAAATCCAAGAGGCTGCCCCAGCCTTGATGATACATCTAACAGAGCCTTGTGGGAACCCATTTCCGGACCTTGTTCTGGATGACAGCCAAATGCACCTGCAGCAGCAAATTTAGTTGCAAACCCCATAAATAAATGATTGCAAGCAGGAACTGCTTTTATTTTTTGAGCGTTACATAAACCAATGCAACCATTGTTACATAAAGTCCGTTGTCAACAAAGCGTCCTTGAGGTCGGATCCATGCCTATGGCTTGGTACATGCAGCAGCATTTACCGGAGAATTTCCTTACATCTCTTCCCAAACTCTCCGGGTGTTTATACAATAGCAGGTGGCTGGGGCTAATGGGGATTAGCCACTGACTCTTTTAGGTCTGAATGGACTCACCTCACCAAAACAAAACCCCCACAAATTTAAACATGGGGGCCCAAGAGCCTCAAGCCACCCAGAACTGAACTATGCCTCATTCTGCCCATACAGAGTCAAATTCTGTCTGCGTTACTCCCATGTGTCAGTCCCACTGAAGTTGCAAGGACTACTTGCCTGCTTAATGCAAGCAGGGTTTGGCTCATGGTTATTACAATATTTTTCCCAGGGCAGGGAAAAGGTGAGTACCAGTAAAACCAAAGTGTAAGTCAAGGTGATTCCAGCACTAAGCCTGCACCTGCTGCCCAGAGACAAGGGTAGGCTTTCATTTTATATTACTTTATTTTCACCCATCAAACCCAGGAGTCAGGTTAACTCCTGTGTGTTGAACAGTATGTGTGTTCCCCAAACACTTGCGCTTCCAAACTGCTGCATAGTGTTTAGCAGTTGCTGGGTTCCACCCTGTGACAGCTGCAGTTCAGTGCCTGGGTGAAAGAATTCCTGTGTATAGTTTACCCCATAAGTGTATAAAGCATATTAGTCTAAAAGCACTATGTAAATGTAAGATGTTAGTATGCACAGGTCCTGGGGTCTAATATGTGAACCGGACAAAGTACTGTAGAAACAGAAATGCAATCCTTTGGTGCATCAGTGGATAGCCAGAAAAGCAACACACTAATGGGCTTATGTACATCTCATATTCCACTATTTTACATAACACAAAGCCAAATGTTTCTGTGCAAAGGATGGGTAAGACATTTGCTGGTTAACTGATTGGGCAAGGGGAGCAAGAAAAATGGGAAATTCATTTGTCAGTTCTCACTTGAAAAAAAAAATCTGTTAAACATTTTGGGAACTAACATTTTTCTACTACTGTCTGAATTCACAGGACTGCTCTGGAATCCAAATCCAACTAAGCCCCTTGAGCCAAATTGTTTGTATTTCCAGTTCATCTCCACATCTGGGTTGCCCAGGACTACGACAATATTTTGGTGATGACTGGGGGAGAAAAGAAAAAAAAAGAACAGATAACATATTCCAGATTCCAGCTGACTGGAGAGATGTGTAAAGAAGGTCTCTGGGTGTGTTTGGGATAATGAGGAGGATGACAGATGTCCAACTCTTAGGTAAAAGAGATATTGTGAGAGGAAGTTACTGCTGAGGGAAAAGGAAAGAAGGAACTGCAGTGACAGCTCTTAATAATCAGGTTGATAGGCAACAGAGCCGGCAACAAACACATTTTGGTATGTAAAGAGAATGAAATAAGAGAGAAAAATTACTTTAGAGCTGCTGAACTGATCAGATAGCATTCCAAAGGAAAACACAGAACCTAACAAAATTAATTTTTAATGAGCCTGGATTCTTACCTCAGGCACAGCTCGTCAGTGGGAGTATATCTTAAGGGTGATTTGAGAAGGATTTGTTTCATGTTGGGTTTATGCCTTGTTTTGTTGCCTTATTTCTCCTTGTGTGTTATCATGCAAATATTGGGAATTCCAAATCCGTTGTTCCCCGGTTTCACAGGAGAAACTCTAGGGGCTCTCGGGGATGTTAACTGTGAGATTACAGCTAATTTGAAGGGAGGTGGGGAAGAGGGGATGAATCTTTAACAAAGGTGTCTTTTATCCAAAATGTTAGCTACTCATTAAATAAGTGTTAACAAAAAACAAACAAACAAACAAAAACCGTTTCAAACAGTTTGACTAAATTTTTCCTCTCTCTTTTAGTTGCTTAACTTTCACTCTATTGGCTCTTGTGATGTCATCTTTTTGCTAGTTCTCCAAACAACACTGAATCTTTCAGGACAGACGAGACCCAAATTTCTAGTGTAAAAAACAAAATCAAACGTTAAAAGTAAATAAACAAACAGATAAAAAAGAACTAACTCTCAGGCCTTTATTATTCATTGTAAAGGAGCTAGAAAGGGCACAAGGCCAATTTTTATTTCCTTTGTACATCAGCGGGATTTGCCCCCCTATTCTGCCTTTCCTGCACCTGGAGTTCTGGTTTTGGGCCCTGAATGTATGCAACAGGCTGGGTGTGATTCCAAAACCATTTACTGCTTTCCCAAGACCACTTACTTCACCCAAGACTCTGGGCTCTCAGAGCTAAACAAACCAGACACAGTCTCTGGGATTCATCTCAGGAATAAACTAGCAAATAAAGTCGTTCATTGCTTTTCTCCCCTAGATTGAGCAGCTGTTAGTAGCAGGAAATCAGCAGACGGAGTTCCTTCCTGCTGCCTGGACCCAGTGCAACGCTGAAGAAAGAGGTTCCTTGACACACCATGGATGGCTACACAAAATTAAAAATTGTGAGGATGGTCGAGTCTCAAAGGGGCCAATTCATCCTTGCTTCTGAGCAGAGTGCAATGTAAGAGTGAGGTGGAGGTGCAAATGAGGACATATGTTTCCCCGTGTTGAAACTGCAAGGGGCTGCTTCAGCCGTTGGGGTTGCATACATTTTGCCCAGGCTATAACATGCCCTATGAGCTATTACAGAAACTGGGAATAGGTAAGAGTAGAGGAACATCCCTGCTATACCCTGTTCCCTCCAGATGTGCCCCTCTGGAGGATGATGTAGAACCAGCTGTGTCAAATCTATGTCTGTCAGGGAATCCCCTGCATCAGGGAATTCCTTGGATGCTGCACCACAGCAGTGAATTCAGCCAAAGGGTTCTAATCCCACCTCCGCACAATCCACCAAAGCTTTACCTGTTAGTCCCAGGAAACAAAGGTATTTAAAGGTTGACATCATACTGCTAAGTTACAAACCACCTTTCTGTGACCTACAAGGAATGGCTCCAACAGACTGGCTGACTCAGCTTTCTGCCTGTGTCTCAACTTACCCCTATGCAGATCTTTTCTGTTCAAACAGACAGGTCTCTTTCTCTCTCAGCGCTTCACAGCTCCCACAGTGAGAAGCACAGGGCATATAAAGCTAAATGGAAGTTCCGGCCTAGCTTAGCTGGGTTCCTCCTGTCTTTGGAGAGTCACGTCTCTGCATGACTGAACTTTCCTTATTTACCTCTCAAGTAAAAATTCCACTAGGGGCTGCTTTTGGTTGCTTCCACAAAACAGTACCACATAGCAGGCACTGCCACATTAGCTTTAGATACTGAGTGACGTGCAAGAGAAGGGCAAATGTCAGAGGAGGGAGAGGAGAGTGGAGACGGGGTCACTGGCGCATGGTATGTCTTCACTGCAAAACCAGGTGTATTCCTCACTCAGGTGGAAAACCACAGTGAAGACATGGCAACGCGGGTTTTAATGCAGCTCGAGTTAAAACCTAGAAGGCAGCCTAGGGCTGAAGTTGTGCTGCTAACTTGAGTTAAAACCCAGATGCCTTGGATTCACTGCTATTTTAACCCAAGTTAGCCCAACCCCAGATAAGAGCACACCTTTGTCTTCCAGTGAAGACATACCTTCAGAATTGCTATGTGGAGTAGGGCTGGCGGGGGGAGGAGGTGGTAAAATTATTGGGAGGGGGAGAAATTCCCCCAAAATTAATTTTTTCCCCAAATATTTCTACAAAAATTGCAGATTTTTGATGACAAGCCAAAGAATTTTCACTTTTTGGGGGGTTCCCTCCCTCCTCTTCTATTTCTTCTCCTTCCCGCCCCCATTCCCCCATCTCATTGTCACCGAAGAAGTTGAAAAAAAGTGTGTGGGGGGATGGACAAAAACAAAGTTTGATGTCTCTTTGAAAAACCCCACATTTCCACCACAATGTCCATCTGCCTGTGGAAAAGCCTCGCGTCCTCACCCATGACACAGGCTCCTGTTGCTAGGTAGCACAAATAATAAGGTGAAGCAGTTGGCTATAAAGAGCGGTTGGGGAGGCAGGGGTGAGGTAAGCACTTTGCCCTGAAAGGGTCTGTCAGTGGGTTGGAGTGGGAAATATATTCGGCAACGAGACGTGCATAACAATCAGGTCCTGAGACCTTGTCTATCTTAAATACTTCTATGACCCCCATCACCATGGTCTTGGAACACCTCACAATCCTTAATGTATTTTTGCTCACAACATGCCTGTGAGATAAGCCTGTGCTATTATTTTAGAGGGGAAACTGAGGCACAGAGAGATTTTAAATGACTTGCCCAAGGTCACACAGGAAGCCTGTGTAGGGAACAAGGAACTGAACTTGGGTCTCCTGATTCCCAGGCTACTGCCCTAATCAATGGATCATCCTTCCTTCCTCCTGGGAGTTTACTGCAGGATTGGGTTCTAGACAGAGGCAAGACTTTATTTCTTTTGCCCACCCTCCTGTTTCCTCATTTGCCCCCATGTTGCACTATGCCCACCATTAGCTGTGCGCTCTTCGGTGTTAGCATTGCATCTTCCTCTAAGATACAATGTCTGGAAAGGGCTTTTGGGTGCCACCTCTATACAAATAATAAACAATGATAACTGAAAGAAGAATTCATATATCCATTGAAGACAACAGGCCTTGGTGTCCTTCACAGATCCCATGCAAAGAGAGGAGTCCACTTCCTTT